CCCGTAGCATTCATTGCTATGCAGATGACAGCACTGGTGATGCTCTTTACACCGGCCGAGCCAATATTTCTCGGGAAAACGTCTCTGAGTGCCGGGACAAACTTGTGTCTGAAGTCGAGTCTCTGCTGGACAGAGTCTCGGATTGGGGGCGACTAAATCTAGTCCAGTTTAACCCCCAGAAGACACAAGTTTGCGCGTTAACCGCTAAAAAGAACCCCTTTGTCGTATCCCCTCAGTTTCAAGGCACTCCCCTTGTTGCCTCAGCCAGTATCGGAATCCTCGGCGTCGACGTATCGAGTGACGTGCAGTTTCGTGGTCACTTGGAAGGGAAGGCCAAATTGGCCTCTAAAAAGCTTGGCGTGCTCAGCAGAGCGGGACAGTATTTCATGCCGGCACACCGCCTGCAACTTTACAAGGCGCAGGTTCGGCCGCTCATGGAATACTGTTCCCATCTCTGGGCTGGGGCTCCCCAGTACCAGCTCCTTCCACTTGACCGCATCCAGCGCAGAGCGGCTCGAATCGTCGACGACCGAGTGCTTTCCGATCGGCTCGATTCACTGGCGCTGCGAAGAGATGTTTCATCTCTTTGCGTATTTTATCGCATCTATCACGGGGAGTGCTCTGAGGAATTGTTCGGATTAATCCCAGCCGCCAAATTTCGTGAACGCACTACACGGCAAACGTCCCGATACCATTCACACCATCTGGATGCTTGGCGGTCCACCACTGTACGTTTCAAAAGGAGTTTTCTTCCGCGTACAACCTCTGTGTGGAATAATTTACCACCGGTGATTTTTCCGGACCGATACTACCTGGGGACCTTCAAGAAAAGAGCGTACTCCTTTCTAAAGGGCCGGCAACGCACCTGCAATTCCCCTGGTGTTGCGGTTGAACATGGGCGGCGGTAGTCACTTAACATCAGGTGAGCCACATGCTCGTTTGCCCCCTCTTCTATAAAAAAAAAAAAATTCAACGTGACTGCAATAAGATGCCCACTTTGTTAAAACGAAGACGGCTTATACCATTGTAAAAATTTTCTGGAATTAACAAATGATCAAACACAGAATAACGTGAAAGAATGCATTAACTGCCTATTTAGCCACCATGGTAACGAATGTATATCCAAAAAAACATGCCAAAAATGTACGAAAAAGCACAACGTGATGCTTGTACCAAGCGAGTTACATCCGCAACCAGCGTCACAGTAGCCCAACCAAGCAATGATGACAGCAACACGTCGCTGCACTCGCACGTGTCTCTAAATATAGTCCTTTACATCCGACGGTATACGATAGTACTTCAAAAAAATCTCAAAACCTCGCAGATTCGTTTTTGCGAACGCAACCGACGATGATCGATCGTGAAAGATGTGTACTCACGGATAGTAGCGCCTGAGTCATGGAATGGGTTGTTAGTTTGCCTTAATCTGAAGTACAAGATGGAACCGATTTTCGATCCGACCGGCGGCATGGGTAAGTATTGTGTTATATTGTTTATTGTTAAATTTTGAGTATGGCTTTTGTTTTATTTTATTTATTTTTTATAAGATTTAAAAACAAAATTCGATCAATTTTTAAATCACGTTAATAAATTATATATCTTAAACCCCATATTGCCCTTACTATTTTAAAATATTGGGTGCGTTTGGCAGAAAAAAGTGCTTGAAAGCACTTATTAACGCTTGAAAGCGCTACTAGCCTTGAAAAAAACCTATACCGTTTTCGGCCAGGACACATTTCCTAACATCACATTTGCTAACTTCCGTAGCGCTGACACAATCCCCATTTTGCTTATTTATTTTGTTGGTCTTGAAATAGAGTTTATAAGTTGTTTTGTGCAACTAGTTTCAAGTAATATTAAAATAAATAATAATTGTAGTCCAAAATAATAATAATAATAAATAAAATTGTAAAATATATATGTGGAAATGTGCAATTTGATGTTTCTGCGACGGACGATATACATCATAAGCAGCAAACCGGTAAATACCTAATGTTTTATATGTCTTTAGGTTACGATTACTGATTTATTTCCTTCTTATGATGTATTAATATATTTTTTTATAACTACTGAATAGTTTTTAATAATTAATTTTTAATTTAAAAAAATGCCATAAATTTTCTAACTTCTCGATTTTCCATTTTCTAATTGTCATTTTGTTCAAGGTAAATTATTTCTACTATTAATTACATGATCGAGAATTACTTAATTTTGAGCATTAAATATACAATTTTATATTTAATAGTAATTGTGTGATGATCGTCGATTGTTTTATAATAATATAGTTATATAATTTCCAGATGACTAATTTGCATCACACTATCTTGAAAATCTTTTACAACAAAACAATACAACAGAAACTGCAGATAATGAGACTGATCACGATGCAAATAATTTAATTGGTAGCGCCAATGATTTTTTTGAGACTCTCAAGAAGGTATGTGTAATAGTAATATAAATTTTTCATTTTCGTAATTTTACATCAGTTTGTGTGATTAGAAAGTAGGTAAACTAATAAGTATTTGGTGCACTAAAACTCGTAAGCTGAAATCAACTTAAAAATGTAATGGAAAACTTAATTTTAAGTAATAAATTTTTCCAGCTAAATATTGGACTCCCGCAACAATCAAATTACTTTTAGATGAGTATAAAAAAGAATTAAACAGTTTTGTGAACCAGAAATAAAAAAAATAGATTATACTGGGAAATAGCAGCTGAATTTTTAAAACTAAATATCAATGTCACATATCCAGAACTCGATAAAAAATAAGAAACATGAAAACCCAATACAAAAAAAATTAAAAAGTAAGAGATCAACAGGCCAAAGAAGAGCTGAATGGCCATGCTTACAAATGATGACTGAAATTTTTCATAATGATGAATCAGTGATATTAACAAATAATGGTATAGAAAGTAGTATTTCTTATAATACTATTATCTATACTGATTCAATAACTATTTTAATTAACCTCTTGCGTACATCTGTACTACTCATAGTACGTAAGAAAAATAAAAATCTGTGGTCTTCGTTTTCATTACCAGAGCTAAAATATTTTACTAGTGACGTCTAGTAAATACACGCGTTACGACAAAAAAGTAAAATGAATACAACTCACTCAACAGTATATCGAAGTCAACAGTATTGAACGCTTTACTGAAATCTAGCAAGGTCATGACTGTGAGTTGTTCATTATCCATATCCCACAAGGACTTTAGAAAGGAAAGGTAAGATCGAAATGGTACGCAAATCAGTGAGGTTCACGGGATTAGATTTCTTCGCAAGGGGTATAACATAAGCACTCTTCTAGGCTTGAGGGAATTTAGAGGAAGATACACGTCCATTAAGCAAATGAGTGATAATGGAAGTGATAACATCAAGGAGAGCAACAATCATATTACGGCTAATGCTGTAGCTATCGACAGCGTTTGAGGAGATGGATAATATGATCTTCTTAACATCACATACAGTAAATTGACTAAAATTGAACGGAAAATAATTAGGAGTCGGACTTACAGAAAGAGAACGAAGTGTTCGCAGTTTATGTTCACTATCGAAAGAGTTAGGATTAGAAAAATGTTGAATTAATAATGATTTCTTATATTTACGCGAACACTATACACTGATTAAAACTTCTTTTACGAATTTTATCGCGTTTTATTTATATTAATTTTAATACACGAAGTTTCGGGTGCTTTCCAGCTCCCATGGTCACGGGGGACTGAGGTGACTGACGTCCAGATGTCAAAGTTAACCCGGAGTACCTTCAGCTTTTTAATTATTGTCTTTGGTCCGATCTACGTAGAATGAACTAACTGTATGTGTGTGTTTTGAAGTCATGCAGTGGTATGCTTGGGTTTAGTTTTAATTTTATTAATTATAGGATCCCAAGCAGGTGGTAGTACCCAGCCTCCTTCTCTATTGAAATTAGGATGTTTTTTAATTTCAATAGCCTCACGTATCATCCTTGGTAGGAATCGATGTTCTTTCGCGAAGATTTGTGGTGTATCAAATATGATGTAATGGTTGGGGCCAACTAGGATATGATCGCAAACTGCAGACTTCCCGGAACGTTGATGCTTCACGTCAGCTATATGTTCTTTTACGCGGGTTCTAATAGATCTCTTTGTTTGCCCTATATATGAGAGACCACAATCACAATCAAGCTTATACACTCCTGCATCTTGTAGAGGAATATGACACTTGACGGATGGTAAGAACTGACTAATCTTCTTCGGCGGCTTGTAGAATGTTCTAATAGAAGCTCGCTTCAAGATGTAGCCAATCTTGTCTGTGACACCTCTGACATATGGTAGTACAGCAGGCACACGCTCGACTGTGGCCGGCTTCACTCGGTCACTGTGACGGAGGCGCGGGACCCGAAGCTTGTTGTCGTGCAGAACCTGCTTGACGTGCTGAAGCTCGGCGGCCAGGTGTTTGCTGTCACAGATCCCTCGTGCTCTCTGTAACAAAGATTTGCTCACGGTAGCTAACTGTGAAGGATGGTGGTGAGATTCATCCTCCTCTTCCGTGATTTCGCCGAGAGCGGACGTGCGCGATCGCGTGTGTCAATAAGGCTCAAAATAGTTAAAAATTATCAATAATATTTAAGAACATTTGACTATTCAACACCAGCGACCGGCTGCGGTGGGGAACGTGCGGGTGAGATAGTAGACTCAATAATTGCCTTCTCGTTCCTGCATCGCATCTTTGCTCACTGACGCAGCAAGCGGTGCCAAAAGAAGACGGTTGGTGCTTGTTTTTTATCTCTTTCCTCCCTGCATGATCGCTGTAACTACGTCAACCGCCGTAGTCACAGCTACTACGTTCGCTACGAAATACGTGCTACGAGACTACGACATTAGTTGAAGCATATCTACCACCTGCCAACACATTTACTACAAGTGACGCCGTAACTCTCGACTATAAAATATAACCTATCTATTTGTTCTACACTTCGTTAAGCGGAAAATAAGTTTGAGGCCGTACGAGAGCTCTGAAAATGTTTCGAACACCGGAAAAATGCAATTCTGATTCCAACCTGCCTAAGATCCCCGACGACAAAGAAACATCGCCTCCCAGTTTTGTCAGCTCACGAATTAAGAGAAAGCGCTCCGAAGAAATTCTGACTGATTTAGCGGACTTTAAGGCAGAAATGAAGGAGATGATTACTTCATGGATGGATCAGCAAAACAGCGAAAGAACAGAAATAACATCTGTGTTGAGATCCATAGAGGAATCACTGACCTTTCTCTCAATCAAATACGATGACATGTGTAAAAAAGTGGACCTTATGGAGCAAGAGAGGCATAAACAGAAGGAATATATTACTATACTTGAAAATAAGGTGGAAAATATCATGAAAGCCCAACGTAAATGTTCATTTGAACTGAAAAATGTCCCAAGATCGGAAAAGGAATCCAAAGAAATGTTGTTGAGCATGGTAAGCAATTTATCTACATCACTTAAGGTCAATATACAAAGTAATGACATTAAGGATATATACAGGACGACCATAAAGGGCGATAAAAAGCCTATTGTTGTCGAAATGTCAACTTATGTCCAGAAAATGAACATTACGAGCGCCGCTAAAAAGTACAATAACCATAATAAGAATAATAAATTAAATACCCAGAACCTAGGTCTAAAGGGAACATGTACCCCTATTTTTATCTCTGACCATCTCACACCTAATGGTAATAAACCATACTACTTAGCGAGGGAATTGTCAAAAAACCTCAAGTATAAATATTGCTGAACCTCGGTAGGTGAAGTTTTGGTGCGGAAAAATGACTCATCCCCGATCATAAAAATTATGAATGAAGCACAAATAAAAGGTATTTATGAGGCCAACAAATGACTATGTATGATCTGTGTACTTAGTTTCAAGTGGACCCATGTTTTTCAAAGTGTTCATGCAATTATTATAGGTTATATTCTTAACTTTTTTAGCTGTATGTTGCACCTATGTTCTGTTAACTCTGTTTTTGCCAGTTACTCATTCATAACTTACACACTTTTCTTGTCTCACATTTACCTTAACACTTACTCCAACACACAAACACATATTACACTCACACACCTCTCCATAAAAGTTCTGTTTTTGCTAGCTAAACATAATACCTTGCGGTCACACTGTAGATTGATTGCAATAATTAACTTTGATCTGAGAGTCTGGAATAACCAATGTAGGAATATTATTTTTCACTTTTATTCTTTCGTGGTAATCAGCTACCTACAACTCCTTTATACAAATGATATTAAATTAATACCTGTTAGACAAATTCACTACACACAAAAAAACTACCTAATATTTTATGGATAATTTGTCCCATCCGTATAATGTTATAGACAATATTACTATAGCTCAGGCCGTCACTTGCACGCCTGAAGAGTTTTATTTACACATCTCTACAAAAAGTCACCTAACCATTTTTACCCAAAACATAAGGAGTATATACAAAAATCTTGATATTTTTCAAGCTATGCTCCACTCAACTAAAACCGATTTCGACGTGCTAGTTATGATTGAATGTCATCTGTCAAAAATAAAAAGTATTCCCAAACTAAATGATAATTATAACACACACTTTACAAAAAATATCTAAAACCAATGTGATGGCGTAGTATTTTATGTAAAAAATAATCTAAGCATCAATGTATTTGAACCGAACATTACAAACGCGTCCTGCCTTGTCTTGACTCTTTACGATACTGTTATAATCGGCATTTATCGCACTCCATCTATTAGAAATACTGACGAATTCGTGTCATCCCTTCAATCTCTTCTCGTACAATATAATTGCTATCCGAATATTATTATAACGGGTGACATAAACATCGACATCAAAATCCACTCTAAAGATCCAAACTGTCATAACTATTTAACATCACTCGCTTATTATGGGATACTCTCAGCTCACAGGCTCCCAACCCGTGATAAAATGAGCTACGATCACATGATGCTGAAAACGTCTCACTCTGCTAAATCACTTGTTCTTACTAACTCTACCACTGACCACTGTACAGTCATTCTTGATGTGATGTTTGAACCTCTGCGACGCAATTTGGCACTAAAACCCAAAATTTCAATCAATTTTGATGCCACTTTGAATGAAATTAAGGCGGACTTACCTGATATATTAACAATAACAGACCCTTCTGAAGCTGCCCAGGTTTTGATTAATAAAATCTCCACTGCGATTAAAAACAACCAAACTATAAAAAGTGTCCCTTCACGAAAGATACATATCAAGCCCTGGATAACCTCTGGAGTTTTACGTTGCCTTCGCAATCGCGACAAACTTCATCTAAAACTAAAAAAGTATCCGTTTAATGAAATCTTGAAAGTAACCTATACACGTTATAGAAATTATTGTAGTAAACTTGTTCGAAAACTTAAAATCATGCACGAAAGAAACAATTTAACGAGGGCTAATAAAAATCCTAAATTACTGTGGAAAACTATAAAATCTATATGTAATATAAACAATAATAAAAATGACTACATACATAACCTACTCTCACTTAAATCCACACCGATGGAAGCTGCAAATTGTGCTAATAATTACTTCTTTAACTTAGGTAAACGTCTGGCTGAAAAATTATTATCGTCCCCTATGTCTTATAATTCTATTCGTGGCATAAATAATATTAAATGTCCCTCTTCATGCAATTCTTTAGTTCTTTTAGCAACAGATACAGCAGAAATTAATACAATCATCTGTAACTTATCTAACGACTCCGCCCCCGGGGGGATAACATTCCTACTACTTTTATTAAAATGGCCAAAAATTATCTCACCCGTCCTTTGTCATGTGTATAACCTCTGTTTCGACAAAGGCTGTTTCCCCCTGTTTTCAAAAAAGCTATTGTTACACTTCGGATGCGTCGCATCCGAAGTTGGAAGCTTCAGGAAGCGGATACTAGGGACAAATATCACACGAGGGTAGCCGAAAAGCTTGACACCATCGATGGCAGGAAAGAATGTGTGGAGAGAACATGGCAGAACCTTAGGGATGGAATGGTAAGTGCAGCGAAAGAAGTATGTGGTACGACAAAAAGAGGTAGTAGTAAAAGAAGAGATGCATGGTGGAATGATGAAGTGAGAGAAGCTGTAAAAAAGAAGAAAAAAGCATGGTTAGACTACTTGGCCTCTAGTAACGATGAGCATATGAGAGAGAAGATGAAAGAAAGATATAAGCTGCAGAAAGTTCATGCGAAAACATTGATTGAGGAAGTACGTGAAAGGTGTAGAATAGAAGCGGACGAGAGGTTGTCGCACAACTTTAGGGAAAACTCCAAACTCAGAAGAGTTCCAGAAGGAAAGAGGTTGGAAGGTCCCGGAGTGGTGCGACAGCCTTAAGAATGAACAAAGTGCTTTCGAGAACCAATGACGTCCTCTCAGAAAAATCGGACGTCATGCAGCGATGGAGTGAATTTTATAGAGAAATGTATGCGTGTCATGATCTTAGTGAAGGATCTGGGGGTGACGCCGTGACTGGCACGCCAGACACGGACCTCGATGACACTGAGGTCATCAGCATGAAAGAGATTGAACGTGCGATTCGAAGTTTGAAATGTGGTAAGGCTGCGGGACTAGACAGAGTTACTGCTGAAATGGTCAAGTACGGTGGGCCTCGCGTCTGGGACAGCTTTCATCTGCTGTGCAATTTGTGCTGGCGGACGGGAGATGTCCCGGATGATTGGCGATCCGCAGTCATTGTGCCTTTATATAAAGGTAGAGGTTCACATTTTGACTGCGGGTGCTATCGAGCGATCAGCTTGACCAGTTTAGCAAGTAAAGTTTACTCGAAGGTTTTGACACGTAGGATGCAAGAGAAATCGGAAAGATTCTTATGGGAGGCACAATGCGGATTTAGACCTGGAAGAGGATGCACGGATCAAATGTTTTCTCTCCGCATGATCACGAGAAGCTTCTGAGTGTTAACCAGAGGATTTTCTGTGCTTTTGTGGATCTGGAGAAAGCATTAGGTTATAAAGAAGAAAATGTGGGAACTGTTGCCGGGATATGGTGTGGATGGTCGATTGTTAAGGGCTGTGCAGTCACTTTACTATGACTGTAAAGCCTGTGTGCGGGTAGGGCATGAACTGTCACCCATGTTTAGCGTCCAAGCGGGCGTAAAACAGGGTTGTGTCATGTCTTCCTGGCTGTTCATACTGTATCTCGACAGCTGTTTACAGAAGCTGAAAAATAGCTGTTTGGGTGTAAAATTGGGTGACATAAAAGTTAATTGTCTGCTGTATGCTGATGATGCAGTGCTTATTGCACCATCAGAAGCATAACTGCAGGCATTAGTCACGTGTATGAAAGAGGAATGTGAAATTAAAGGTCTCCGTTTGAATGCTAATAAAACTAAGGTTCTGGTATTTGAAAAGGACGAAGAGAGAACGAAATGTGAAATATGGGTAAATCAGGAATGTCTAGAACAGGTAAATGAAATTGTATACTTGGGGAGTGCTTTCAGCCGGGATGGAAGATGTGATTTAGATGTGGATAGGCGTGTCGCTGCCGGAAACAAAGTCAATGGTGCCCTGAATGCATTAGTAAAAAGGCAAGGCGTGGTGAAGAGTGCACGCCTTGCAATACATAATGCAGTGTTGGTACCGACTTTGTTATATGGCAGCGAAACCTGGGTATGCCAGAAGAAGCATAAAAGCAAGTTGAATGCAGTGGAGATGCGATCTCTTCGTAAAATGTGTGGCGTTACCTTAGCCGACCGAAAGCGAAACGAAGAGATTCGCAATATGGCAGGATTGAAAGATGACCTTATCACAAAAATTGATAGGGGCGTACTCCAATGGTTTGGGCACGTTGAACGAATGAGTGAAGACCGAATGGTGAAGAAAATATATAGAGCGAAAGTAAATATTAAAAGGTGTCGAGGTAGACCGAGACTAACTTTCGAAGACCATGTGAGCAAATTGCTCGAAAAGGGGACGGTCAAGAGTACTCGGATACCTAGACGTACAAGTATGAAGAAGTTAATGAACCTGAAAGAAGCGAAAGAGGTATGTAAGGATCGTGACACTTGGCGATCTGTTCTCTCTGGCTACCCCGTTAGGGATTGTGCGTGAAGATAAGTAAGTAGTAAGTAAGTATTGTTACACTCATCTATAAAAGTGGAAATAAAGATAAAATTGAAAATTATAGGCCTATCTCTGTACTTCCAGTTCTGGCAAAAATTTTGGAAAAGCTCATTAACAACCGCATTAACGAATTCCTTTGCAAAAACAGCTTGCTATCAAATAATCAATTTGGCTTCAGAAATGGCGTCTACACTGAAGACGCAGTTCTGGCACTTTCCGACACTATCTGTAAGCACCTAGATGCAGGCTATAAATGTGTCGGCGTCTTCCTGGATCTTGCAAAGGCATTCGACTCTGTTTCAATTCCAATATTACATAAGCTTTATCACATTG